ACCATATATTTACCTACAAAAAAAAAAAGAAAAGATAAAATCTTTAACTCCTGACAGAGAAACAGAAAAGTGATGCTTGAACAAAAAGGATTTTTTTTTTACCTCATTCAATTAGTACTCCCTGTAACGTGTGAGCTATGATGGATGGAAACCTGTCTGCTGCGAGAACCACAGAGTCAAATAACTTTGGAGCACGGGAACTCGTCTCCCATTTATTCAAAGAACTCTCCTCTCTTTCTCTCCATACAGGGGAGGAAAAACAAAACAAAAAACTAAAGTCAAAGCACACAATATAAAACTCTCTCGTTTATACTATTACAAAAAGTGACTAACGATGATGCAGATTCACAAATCTCCAACAACTATGTCAAACATCAATCTCTGTGCAGCATGCAGTATGGTGTCATCTGCAGGTGTTGAAGAGCTCAGTCCCTCACTGGTCCAGACTGCTGGCTCCAAAGGGCCATTTAAAGAGTTCCTTCCACCTGTTCACCACCTATCAGAAAAGACACACACACAGCCACGTTAGGTAGAGAAAACAAGGGCACACCCAAACTGCAAAATAAATAAATAACAAACACAAAGGTGCCATTCACTGTATAAGACACTAGTCTGGTCTAAAATGTAATTTAAATAAAACAACAACATACAGACACATTGTGACAAGTCTAGAGGAGACAGCTTTTTATGCAGGCTATATAAAAATAAATGTACATCTACCTTAGTGGAACTTCTGACACTATGAGGAGGCCAGGGGTCTCATAGGCAGGCAGTATGAGGTGGATAAGAGGCGCAGGCAGGTCTCCAGATGATCATCAGTCTTTGTGGATCTGTTCTTGGACTTGATAATTTTCATGTGAAAGAAAGCTGACTCCTCTGACAGCAGACTCCAGAACTCTCCATCCATGCGACTTGTTGCTCTGAATTTGATCCCAATGTCATTTTGCAGAGTCAAAACCAAATTTTCAACCCAGAGCAGTCCAGACTGAAACAAGGACACGAATTTGGACACATCCATCCATCCTGGTGGACAACTGCATGTCTTTATAGCAGCCACAATCTCACTTTTATTTTTAAAATCATGGAAAAGCACATCTGCCACGCTTCTTTCATAACTTCGTCATCACTGAAAGACGTGTTGAGGCAGGTATAGGGCTGCATTAGCAGCCTTACCTTAGGAGGGGAAATCCGCCTCGTAGCGTATGCGCATTCTTCTGAAAGAAATGCTGTTCCACGTTATCCTTTTTGGACAAGCCAAGGCAGCGCTCAAATTACATATGAGTCCTCTTCCCACTCCAGGTGAAAATAATGTTTTTATTTGCTTTTTAGCTGTCTTTCGTTCATCATTTTTTTCCGCCTCACTGCCATGTTTTAACACACGAGACCATGTTCGGAGTGCAGTTTCACAGCACCCAAAACTCATGAGACTGGAGCGTGTTCAAGAATACAATGTTAAACAGACGTTGCAAAGAGTGCGTTTAAGGCTGCAATGTTAAACCATGTTGCGTTCTACAAGCTCCGTGATCCATTGCTCTGTAAGCTACTGCTAACAGGCTAAAGATCTACCGGTAGATCCCGATCTACTGGTTGGCCTGGCCTTCTCTAACTGAACCTCCAAATCTTAAACATAAGCCAAAGAAAATAAATGGGTCTTCAGCAAAGATTTAAAAGCCACAACAGTCTCTGCTGACCGAATATTAAGAGGTAAACTGTTCCACAGCTTTGGAGCAGCTATTGCAAAGGCCTGGTCACCTCAAGATTTCAGTTTGGATCCATGGACATCTAACAGGAACTGGTTGATAGACCTGAGTGCTCTGACTGGAGTGTAAATGTTAAGAAGATCACATAAATATGACAGGGCCAGACCATTAAAAACTTTAAAAACCAACATTAAAATCTTAAAATCAATTCTCAGGTGAACAGGAAGCCAATGGAGAGAAGCCAGGACCGGGTTTACAGTATGTGTTCATGCTTTTTAGTACTTGTTAAAAGATGAGCTGCTGCGTTCTGGACAGTCTGTAGGCGATGCAGAGATAATTTATCGAAGCCAGCATTCAAAGAATTACAATAGTCCAAGCGAGTGGTAATAAAAGCATGAATCACCCTTTCAAGGTCTTTAGTGGGGAGATACGATTTCACCTTAGCAATTAGTCTTTATTGGAAAAAACTTGACTTTACAACAGAATTAATCTGTTTATCCAATTTAAAGGCACCGTCAAAGAGAAAACCCAGATTCCTGACAGTAGAATGGCTGGATGAAAATAAAGGGCCAATGTCATCTGAATTTACTTTACCAAAAGTGATTACTTCGGTTTTACTCACATTTAGATTCAGAAAGTTTAGTTTTAGCCAGGTTTTTATATCATTCAGACAGCTGAAGAGTGGTTCCAATGGAGCGTCTCTGTTCAACTTAATGGACAATATAGACCTGGATATCATCAGCAAAGCAATAGAAAGTGATGTTATGCTTTCTGAAAATGGACCCCAAAGGCAACATATAAAGATTAAAAAGAAGTGGACCTAAAATGGACCCTTGGGGGACCCCACAAGTCAGAGGAGCTGCTGAAGAAGAGCATTCACCAAGGTGAACAGAAAAACTCCTATTAGTTAAATAAGATTCAAACCAAGATAAAACTGTGCCTTTGATACCAAGCAGCTGCTCAAGACGTGACAACAGAATGTTATGGTCCACAGCATCAAAAGGCAGCAGAGAGGTCTAAAAGCACTAAAACAGCAGAGCTTCCTGAATCAACTGTTAAAAGAAGATCATTAAAAACTCTTAAAAGGGCCGTCTCTGTGCTGTGACCTGGTTTAAAACCTGACTGAAAATTTCCACCAATGTTGTTGATAGTTAAAAACCCCTGGAGCTGATTAAAAACGACTCTCTAAAACCTTAGACAAAAAAGGCAGCTTAGATATAGGTCTGTAGTTTGATAAAACTGCTGGGTCGAGGTTGTTTTTCTTTAAAAGAGGCTGTACCACAGCATGTTTAAAAGCAGCTGGAACACAGCCTGATGAAAGGGACATATTAATCAAAACAACAACAATTGGATCAAGAATATGAAAAATGTCCTTAAACAGATGAGAGGGAACACTGTTTAAAGGGGAATTAAAAGGCTGCATATGATGCACAACATCCTTTAAAACAGCAAAATTCACCAACTCTAACTGTTGGAAGGCAGCTGAGGATGGAGAAGGTGAAGAGGGGTCTGTATCAAACTGAGCTGAGGAAGGCATCAGCGCAGAGATTTTTTTCAGTAAAAAAAACTTTAAAGACTTTTCACACAGTGCAGGAGATTCAACAATATGACCAGCATCAGAGGGATTCACAACAGAGTTAAAAAGGTTAAAAAGAACCTGAGGTCTGTGACTGTTTAAAACCACATTAGATAAAAAAGCAGACTTAGCAGCTCTAACAGCCAGTGACGGCTGGTATAAGTGGGCTAGTAGGGCTAAGCCCTCCCTGGTGTTCACAATAAAAATGTTAAAATAAACAATATTGTAAAATTATAATATAATTATATACAATTTATAAATAACAACTTAAAAATAAACAAAATTTAAAAATAATATATCTTATTTTGTGAAATTTACAAGGAAAACTGGTGCCAAAACCACCTGGGAAGATCCCAGGGCCGTTCTGCAGGGCTAACTTTTCACAGCCCATTTTCATATAATGTGTGTCCTGGTTCAGAATGATTGACATGCGTCTCGCCACGCCCCCTCGGTTTGCGGCTCATTGGGGCTAATTCTGTTCAGCRCAGGATCAGCCCAAAGCCACAGGATTCAGCCATTTAGGGTGYYCTTACAAAAACGTGCCTCCAGTGCCAGTGTATGTGGGCGTGGTTTGGTGTAGACTGGATACGATGCAAACAGCATTAACATGTCAAGAAATTGAGGCGTTAAACAACTTAGCTGAGTTTCTTAAAACAAAAAAGTGTTTTAGACCAGAACACACCAGGAGAAGCTTAAAGTTAAAGAGCTTGGACCAGATCTGCTGGATATGAAAAGCAACGGAACAAAGACAGAGGGAGAGTTTACACTCCATTATTTGCCAAGAACTGGATTAGCGACAGGCTAAGCTAACTGCTTTTAGTAAGGCTAATGGTTTGTTTTGATTCATTGCCTCGTTTTTAAAGCATCAGGATCTGACCCAGCATGGATTAAAACAGGTAAGAAAAAAGCTAAAATACTTTTGTAATGCTTTTGATCATAGTAGTGCTATAATATAGTTGTGCTTTTAATCATAGTATTATATAGTTATATTGTTTTATAATTGTTAACACAGCTTTAAATAAATATACCTTAGATGTACAACAATTTGTAGTTAATAAATTAACGTGTATTCATAACTTCAGTTGTTTTCTATATATTGAATATTYTAAWGRTCACTTGWAGCCATCTCCATACTGAATTAAATTTGTGCATTTATTTTTTTTAGGTTTGTGACATCATCTTGAGCCATTCACAAGCATCTGATCAGAGCTGCAGGCAGACGTTCCTGCAGGTCTCCAGTTCACCACCATGGAGGCTGCAGTGCTGAACAGGACCAAGCTAAACACTGAACAGGCTTCAGGAGCTGCAGTGGTGCTGTGGGGCTCTTCATGGAGAACAATCTGCATCTTCAGAGGCTGAGAGGAGCTGAACACTGAAGACAATCCAGACTTTCCTCAGGTACAACATCACAT